AAAAAAAAAAAAAAATTGGCAAGGCAAAAAAAATCACTGTCAAATAGTACTCAGATAACTTTAAGAAAAAACAATGTAATATATATATATATATAAAATATTAAATACACTATTAAAAATGGACTCAGATAATAAAATTCCAGGATGAACTCTATGAAGCATAGGAATATTTGAAAAGTCCAAAACCATCAATTTAATTATAAGAATAAACATCATACCTGAAAGTTCTTTTCCCAAACAGCACAAACATCATTGGACCTAAAGGATACAATGAAAAAGAAGTTTCCTCCACTTAAATCCATAAGGTGAACTGCACAAGGATCTCCAAATGGAAGCTGGCATACACTTTCAGGAGTCCCATTGTGGAAGTAAATCAGTTGATTCTTTTGAGTAAGGGCAATTAGAGACATTCTTAACTGGTTGTTGATGATCTCAATTGCACAGACATGCACACAGGTTACCACACTGCTATAAGCAGGAGGGATAATGTATGTATCACTTAATACTTCTTCACTTTCAAGAGAGTATACACAAAATTTGGTATTTGAAATTATATAATCTGATTCTGAAGCCTCCTGGGTGCATTCTTCCTCAGATAAAGAACGTTCCTTTATTCCCAATAAAACCATACCCACATTTTCAATATCCCCTATCCACACAATAGAGGAAAAGTTAACTGACAGAGTAACGACTTTGCCAGTTTCAGAAGACATATAGAAGAATGTTCTAGCATGTCTCCATAAGACCAAAGGGCCATCAAGGACCCTTAAACTATCCTTCAACTCATGGCCTATTTTAAAGCTCAAACGGTTTTCAAATTTATTGGTACTGTGGAGAAACAGTAGAAAGTATCTGAAAACTTTGTTTTCATTGCTTTGAATCAATACGCAAGGGAGGTTAATTCCAGTTCTGAAATCTGACACACAGTTGCAATAAATAATTTTAAAATGAGAGTTTTCTCCCTTTATGCTGAAGGATCCAGTGGACTTCTGAATAAATGATCTTGTTTCTCTGTCAAATACCATTCTTCTGACGTGTAACATGGATGTTTTTGCAGTCTCTTTATCTGAAAAATTTCCTTTCGATAACTGGAAAACCAAGACTTCCCCATTATAACATAAGAAACTTTCTTGCTTATTAGATGACATTGCTTATTTTTAGTCACTCCACGATATCAAGTATTCATGTTTATCTAATTTTTGAATGCAAATTGATTCCAGTCGTTTTTTCAACCTAAAAAATAAATGAGAAAAAGTGCCATGAAGTGGGAAAAATTGAAAAGACATTTCTGTTAGGTACCTATCACATAGGTAACTACGAATTTTGTTAAGTAATCATCTTTAAGCTCTTTATATTATTTTGACAATGTCACACATTGAAAAAACATATCCTAAATATTATTTCTATAAATCCCTTTAAAAACATAGTTTGCTAAGAATACAAATAGCCACATCAAAAAAGATAGCTGAAGGGCGGCACCTGTGGCTCAAGGAGTAGGGTGCTGGCTCCATATGCCAGAGGTGGCAGGTTCAAACCCAGCCCTGGCCAAAAACCAAAAAAAAAAAAAAAAAAAAAAGTTGCTGAATATGTTCACAGCATGTGCTTAAAGCTTTAGTTGCTCTATTAAAAGTGACTTCAGATATTTCTGTTTCAGGGAATTTCTTAAGGATTCTTTCCTTTTCTGTTTCAAATCTACCAACTGTAATGTGGTTTCACACTCTCTTCCTTAGCCCCTTTAAAATGACAATTCAGTTAGTCAATGGTTTGTCTTGGAGCTCAGTTTCTTCCCAAATATGGTAATATGGTGATTCTTGAATTAGACTTCTCACACAGCCCAGAAACTTGGGCTCCTCTTTTTTGGAGACAGGAAGTCATATAGGTTCTATGACAAAAATGAAACCTCAGAAATAAAAATAGAAGATGCTATAACAAAGCTTAAAAATACGTCCATAAGAGAAACAAAAATAAGTCTTACTTTACAAAAACAAGGCATTTTATAAAGTCACTATAATTATTCAAAATAGGAAAAAACTGAGGATTAACCAACTTATTATAGTGAACAGAAGAATAATAGCTAGCAATCATTCACGTTTATTATATGACAGGTGCAACATATGCATTATTTCACTTAAGGCTTACAACTATTCTTTTAAAAAATATTCTTCTTCTTCCAACTTTTATACAAGAAAATCTTATTTTAAAGAAGGTAAAACAATTTTCTTTCCTTTTTTTCTTAATCAGGCCCAGGTGAGGTTCAAACTCACTGCCATCAGTTTGAAGGGCTGGTGCTCTAACTACTGAGCTATGGTGCCCAGCTGAAGGTAAGATAATTTTCCAAGGTTACACTAATTCACAGTTAATACTAACTGGCAATGCTGCTAGATTTGCAAGAGGGACCTCTAGACTCCTGAGTCTACACCCGTAACCACCACACTGTCCTGATATGCATTCCCTTATTCCGAATAAATGGTTATAAGAAAAGAAACTGGAGAAAATCAGTAAAACAAAGAAAAACTTCTATATAGAACACATACATAAAAATGTTAATCTCTCTTCATTAAGTGGTTATTATGTAGTGAGCAATGGAAGTCCTAGCCAGAGCAATTAGGCAAGAAATAAAAAGGGCATCCAAATTGGAAAAGAGGAAATCAAACTGTTCCTGTTTGCGGACAATGTAATCTTATATGTAAATAATGTTAAAGATTTCACAAAAATCTTTCAGAATAAACTAATTCAGGAAGACCACAGAATACAAAATTAACACACAAAACCACTAGCATTTCTCTATGCTAAAAGTAAACTATCTGAAAAAGAAATCAAGAAAACAATTCCATTTACAGTAGCTACAAAAAGCATAAGATACTCAGGAGTAAACTTACCCAAGGATGTGAAAGATCTCTACAAATTATAAAACAATCCTTTTATCATAAGGACATTTGCACTAGACTGTTTATCACAGCTCAGTTTACAATAGCCAAAATGTAGAAGCAATCTAAATGCCCACCATGCCAGGAATGGATTAACAAGCTGTGGTATAATTATGCCATGGAATACTATTCAGCCATTAAAAAAAATAGAGACTTTACATCCTTCATATTAACCTGGATGAAGGTGGAACACATTCTTCTTAGTGAAGCATCATAAGAATGGAGAAGCAAGAATCCAATGTACTAAATTCTAATATGATGGCAGTAGATGAGCTAATACAAGGGGTGGGGTAGAGGAATGGGGAGAGGGGCAAGGGGAGATGGAAGGGGGATGGGAGTCACAGTGTATGGCACACTTCTTGGGGGTGGGGCATAAGAGGAACTTTATCTAACAAATGCAATCAGTGTAACCTAATTGTTTGTACCCTCAATGAATTGCAAACAATACAAAAAGAAAGAAAAAAAATGCTCAGCAAAAAAAACAAAACAAAACAAAACAAAAACTATACAAAACTGATGAAAGAAACCGAAGAAGAGGTTCAGTGCCTGTGGCTCAAGAGGCTAAGGCACCAGCAACATACACCTAAGGTGACGGGTTCAAATCCAGCCCGGGGCGCCAAACAACAATGATGGCTGCAACCAAAAAAAAAAAGCCAGGTGTTGTGGCGGGCACCTGTGGTCCCAGCTACTTGGGAGGCAGAGGCAGGAGACTGGCTTGAGCCCAGGAGCTGGAGTTTGCTGTGAGCTGTGATGCAACGGCACTCTACCCAGGGGAATACCTTGAGGCTCTGTCTCAAAAAAAAAAAAGAAAAAAAAAAGAAACTGAAGAAGATAAACAAATGGAAAGATATCCCATATTCATGGATTGGAAGAATTTGTTAAAATGGCCATACTACCCAAAGCAATCTACACATTTAATGCAATGTCTATCAAAATTCCAATGACATTCTTCAGAGAAATAGACAAATAAATCTAAAATTCATATGGAACCATAAAAGACTCCAAAAAGCCAATACTGAACAAAAATAAGCAAACAAAAAAGCCCCCAAAACTAGAAGTATCATACTACCTGACTTTAAAACATACTACAAAGGTATAGTAACCAAAACAACATGGTAGTGGAACAAAAATAGACACATAAGCAAATGGCATTACATACAGAGTCCATAAGGAAATCCATACACCTATAGTCAACTAACAAACATGCCAAGAGCATACACTAATGAAGACAGTCTCTTCACTAAATAGTGCTGGGAAATTTGGATATGCATAGGCAGAAGAATACTTCTTAGCATATATAAAAATTAACTCAAAATGGATTAAAGACTTACATGTAAAACCCAACGCTATGAAACTACCAGAAGAAAACACAGGGAAAATGTTTTACAACATTGCGCTGTAAGTTGCAAAGTTTTTTTTAAAATAAGACCTCAAAAGCACAGGCAATAAACAAAAATAGACAAATGGGATTATACCAAACTGAAAAGCTTTAGCACAGCAAAGGAAATAATGAATAAGAGTGAAGAGACTTTACAGAAGGGCAGAAAATATCTGCAAACTATGCATCTGACAAGGGCTTAATATTTAGAACATATAAAGAACTTAAATAACTCAACAACAAAAACATATATCCCAATTTAAAAATCGGCAAAAACATTTTAGACATTTCTCAAACATACAAATAACCAACAGGTGTATGAAAAAAAAACCTCAATATCACCAATCATCAGGTAAATGCAAATCAAGACCAAAAGGAGGTACCACCACCCTGCTCTAGTCAAAATGACTATTAATAAAAAACACAAAAGTTAAGTGTTAACAAGGATATGGACAAAAGGGAACACTTATGCATGTTTGGTGGAACTGTATTTATTACAGCCACTATGGAAAACAGTTTGGAGGTTCTTCAAAAAAAAAAAACAAACTAATATATGATCCAGCAATTTCATCCCAAAAGAAATGAAATCAATATGTTGAAGAGATATTTGCATGCCTAAGTTTATTGCAGCACTATTTACAACAGCCAAGAAATGGAACCAAACCATGATATCATCTCCAGACAACAAATGAATGGATTAAAAAAAATGTAGTGTACATAGACACTGGAATATTATTTAGCCATTAAAACAAATGAAACCCTGTCATTTGTGACAACATGAATAGACCTGGAGGACATCACATTAAGTGAAATAAGCCAGACTGAAAGACACAGAAAGACAAATACCACACAACCTTACCCATGTAGAATCTTATTTAAAAAAAAAAAAGGTTTGTCTTACAGAAGCAAAGAGTAGAACAGTGGTTATCAGAGACTGGAGAGAGGTTAAAGGGTACAAAGTTACAGTAAGGTAGGGGAAATAAGTTCTTATGTTCTATTATACAGGAGGGTGAGGATGGTGAACAGTAAAATATAGTATGTTACAAAATAACTGGAAGTTTCAGAATGTTCTCACTCTGTTTCAGTAGCCAATATTGCATCTCTCAGACGCAAGTAAAAGCTGCTTAATTAGTATTCCTTTAATCTCTCTTCCCTCTAGTTTATCAATATATTTATGCTACCTCAGTAAACTTTTCTAAAACACACACTTATCCTCTTTCAATGCTTTTCCTTTCTGGAAATCTAGGAAGCCTGACATGCTTGTGGGAAATTTGAAAAACATCCTTACATACATTCATATATTTTTATGTAATATAACTTGTTAATTTCCTTTAAAGTAAACATTCGTTCATTAAGTAAAAGCCACACCTCTGCTTTACCTATCTTCTTTACTAATGAAGCTGAAACTACTTTGTGATACCTATTGTTCCAGACCTTTGATACAGGACAAGTGGCATCCCAGCCAGCTCATGGAGCTGGGGGATGTGGACCTGCAGGGCGCGGACCTGCTGCCTCCACCTTGGCAAAATGAATGTTGGTAAAGGATTACTTCATATACTAGTTAAGTTTGTACAGGCTCATTCTGGTATTTTTCGGATGTTTTAAGTGTGACTCAGATGTTGTAGGTATATCGTAAGGTCCTTTTTATTGCCTTTCATTGCAAAATTAAATTGGCGTTTTCATGTGTCTGGGAATAAAGGCTAAACCATGTTAACTACAAGTCAGCTCCAAAAAAAAGGGCAAAAAGACTCCCCTACATGGCTTCTCTGGGCAACTAGAAGCCTGTGCAGGGAAGCAACTCCCCAAGGCAAGAATGGCCCTAAACCCTCGGCTACAGTTCAGT